TTGTTGTTGTACATTTTCAATGTATTAGACTGAATTTTGTAAACAAGTCCATTATAATACCACAGGGAGCAAATTTTGGGATAATGCTCCTTGCTTAAAAAAGTAGATCTACCTAATGTACTACTCAAAAAATGGGGACTTTTTTGTACTTTTAAAAATTTTTATTAGTCTTTTAAGACATTTTTAAAATCTGCTGATGATGTATTAAATTATTCCAAAGTAGCATGATTTTTGTAAGTTTTCTATTTGCCTTTTCAGTAGCTTTGATACTTTTCCCTTTTAAAAATGCTTCTTTTTTCTTTTTTCTTTTTTTAAATACTAGGTAAAATTTAAGCCACAGTTTTGAAAATCCCTGAGATAAAGCAATCTGTTTCCAAGGCAAAGTTCATCTTTTCCTTCACACAAGATAATATACACTCAGGTGTTTTTTTAATGGCACATGTTCAGCAAGTAGAGATATGACTCATGCTTAATTGGCATTAAATCCAGAATTCAGAATTTCATTAACTTAATTCTCTATCAATGGGAAGATAGACTTTCACAGTTTTGCCTCTGTCTTTCTACTCTGAGCATGGAGGGAAGCATACAGTACAATTTGAAAAGATGAACATTGAAGCAAATATTCATCTCTATTTGATATTGAAAATTATAGAAGCAATAGAAATACTGAGGGGCTTACTTGATAATATGGCCTTTCTAGTTGTTAGTGTAAATTTGTGTTCCCGAAGTGTTCCCATTTCTTTTTCTGCTAGCTTGCCCAGTAAAATTATATTTCTTAAAATCTTTATAAGATTCCTATGTCCTCAAAATCTTGTAGCTAAAATTATTTCCTTCAGTTTTTGTAAAGCAAGGCATTCCAATGAAAAAGATATGATTTTTGAAGAAAAAAAAAGCTTACCTGGCAGAAATTCTTTGGCCATACATGTTAAACTGCTGAAGTATTTGTCAAGGAACATAAGTGTCTCACAATATCTCATAATAGTTTCAAATAGGTCCATTTTTGTGGAAAGGTGTTGACAAGAGGGATATGATTCCTGTGTGAGACTACAAATGGCTCAAAAAGTTTGTCTTAAAGAAAGAAGGTAAAAGTCAGGGAGTTTGGAAGAGGCAATTAATGTAGCTTTGTCATGTTGGAGTTACAAGAAGTTCTCTGCTGTCTAGAGATTTCAGAGACAAAGAAAAATCGAAATGTGTTTAAAACAAATACTCTTTTTTCCTGCATGGGGACTATTTTTCTTCACTTACCTTGCATGTTGTTCAACTTAATCACTCATATGGGTACCAAAAAGCAGCATATAAGAATTCGGCAGTGTTTTCATTGTCTCTTTCAGACATTAAATTCCCACCAGCAAATAAAAAGAATTCTGCTATTTGTACATTTTTTGCTGACAATATTCTTAAGATATTGTGTGCGTGATGGATGTTGCATATGTGACTATATTAAACAAGGCAGGATTAATGTACTGATCAATGAGATGACTCAAAGAAACATCTTTACAAATAGCCACTTGTGTGTGCTCAGGTATGTCTGTATTTATGTTTCAAACATAAATTACTATCAAAATTTTGTAGCTTTAGTGCCAGATTTTTGGCTCTATTATCATTATTATCTTATCTTATAAGCATTGCAGGATCTTTTGTAAACCTCAAGTATTATGAAAAAAGAATAGATCTCTACTATATAACAGAGACTAGAAGAAGGCTTAATATGCCTTGTTGTCACTATTCAAAGCAATTCTTTTTCTGCTATTCCAGAGAGAGAAATTTTCCCTTTTAAGTACAGCAAGTATTAAGGCACTTTTATCTGCATAGTGTGCAGTATCACACATGCGCACACACATGTGAAAATGTCACTTTCTGTATTAATTGCTTGTGTAAGAATCACTGGAGCTTTTTCCTCGTATCAGTGTTTTCCCTTTCCTATTGCACCACCAGCTATTTTTTAAATTTTTTTTAATAATAACCTGAGATTTTTATGTGCTAAATAATCTTAAATATTTTGCTCCTATATCTTATTTAGCAAGACTAGTAGATCTGTACCATGTCTTTGGTAAGACTAGTAGATCTGTAGCCCTGACTTTGGGGCCTTCTGTGTCTTCAAAATTCAGTAATGACTTATGGATTTGATATTGTTCCCTCAGGTTTTGAATTCTAGAGTCTGCTCTCTCCTCTGCCTACAAATGCTTTCTTTCCTCTCTTTTGGGGGATTTCCTTGAGATTACAAGAGCCCTCTCACACATTAGTTCATTTACCATGTATGGATCAAGGAAAATCAACATATATTTCACTAACTTCTTTAATGGGACAGGGATATTTGTAGTATTCGGCCCTTCTCTTTTCCCCAAGCCAAAAAGTAGTACAATACATGGAATCTTGCAAAGCCCTGAAAATGCATGACAAAAGTTAAAATTATAAGGGATTAGGAGCCAAATTGTGAGGCAAATGCACCTGTGTCCAAAAAAAGGTCAAAAGGTCAACCTGGAGAATACAGAGAATTTGGCAGTCAACCAAAGGTCAACCTGGAGAATTTCTGGCAGTCTTACTTCAGCCTATAGGAAGAACTATGGAGTAAATATAATATTTGTGAAAGGCAGCATGGATTTACCAAGGATAAGTCATGCCTGACCAGTATGATCACCATCTATGTATAAGATCTTTAGCAAGGCTTTCCATATTTTCTTCCATGACATTCTCAAATTGAAGGTGGGACATTACTATTTATGCAGGTGGATGTCTAGATGATGTAAAGATGGTCAGCTAGTCAGACCCAGAAAGTTGTGGTTAATGGGTTGGTTATTATGTGGTTAATGGCTTGGTTATTATGTGGTTAATAGGTTGGTTATTAACGTGGTCAGTGTGGTTACCTGCTTGGAGGACTGTAGCAAGTGTGGAACTGCTGTGATGTGTACTGGGACCTTTCTTGATATTTTTATCAGGGACATGGAGGAAATAAGGGAGCTGCACCAATGTGCAGAGAGCAAATTGGGAAGGATCAGTTGATATGATTTTGGTAATCAAGCTGCCTTTTCAGCAGCCTGAACAGGCTGGATGAATGGGCTGACGTGGACTTTGTTAAATTGAATAACGGCAAAAACCAGGTGTTGGATGAATGGGCTGGATGAAGGAGCTGACATGGACTTTGTTAAATTGAATAAGGGCAAAAACCAGGTGCCAGCCTGGGGATAGAAGAGCCCCTGTGATGGCACAGGTTTGGCATTGGCAAACTGGGAGTAGGTCTACAGGTGGGCCCTGGATCTTGGTGCCTCAGGCAGCAAAGCTCCATGGGCTGTATAGACAGAACCATGGCCAGTCAGTGCAGAGAATGATTATTCTCCTCAGTTTAGTACACGTTAGGCCATGTTTATAGTACCACATCCATGTTTGGCCCACCTGTTACAACAAAGATATTGACAAACTGGAGTGAGTTTTGCTGAAGGCTGTCAAGACAGACTCTAGAGCAGTCTTCAACTGGTCCCAAGTTCGTCAGCACACAGTACATTCCTCTTCATGCTTTGTCTCAGTTCCTTTTGTTGTCTTGATGCCTTTCACTGCTCCTCTGCTAATCAATATTTTATTGAAATGTCTTTGCCCCAACGTGTTCCATTTTTGTTTTGGAACTGCACCATATAAAATCTCCTCTGCTTTAAAATTGTTTTCAGCATGTGAAAAGGAATGCTGGAACTGTACACCAGGAGCATAACAATTACAAAGCAAAACAAACAAAAAAAACTCCACCTACGTTCAGTCCATTTTTTCTGTAGTCATAGAAGTCCAAACTTATATGGTTGACATTGTTCTGGAAATTAGTTCTGCCTGAGGCAAATGTCCTGCCTGAGAAAACCTAACTCTAACCGGATAAAGTTTGCCCAGAGTTCCAAGAAACTGAGAAAAATATTTCAGAATGTGAAGTGTTAATCAGTTTAATATAGGCTGGGCCACCAGGTTGGAATAACATATTTTTCTTCCATTTTTGTTAATTGTAGTTACATACATGCATCAAAATAAAATGGAAATAGATTGAATTTTTTATGTTGCAAATTTGCTGCAAGAGTATTTTATTGTTGATAAGCTTTTCAAATATTTAGAAAATAGAATGAAAGTTTGAGTTCTTTGGAGGACAACAGATACATTTTAAAGACACATGAGGATCTAGCCTTACAAATGTAGTGATACTATTTGACATATTACTTGAGTTACCTTCCTTAACTAATGAAGCACTGTTCTTCCAAAATTAGGTTTTCTATTTGATGCAGATTCTGAAACTTATCCAAGTTGTATGAGTATAGAAATTGAAAAATAGATTATACAAAATCCCAAGGCTGAGTTGATGTCATTGTAAGCTATTTCCATGTAGGACTTATTAAAGAAACAGAATTTTGTGGAAATCTATTAAAGAAGTAGAGTTATTAGAGTTAAGTTTTGCAATTTAAGACTCTACCTATTTATGTGTGTTTTGTAACCACTTACCAAGCTTATAAATATATAATTCTTGGGGTTTAGGAATGTTACTCTGCAGTTTAGTTCTTCCACCAAGACTCAAAACCAGATTGCTGCTCACGCACTCCCCCTTCCCCTCCCCTTCCCACTCCTTTGGAATGGAGTTGAGAATTGGAGGCACAAAAGCTGAAAATCATGGGCTGAGATAAGAATGATTTACTAGAAACAGCAATGAGACAGAAAAATGAACAGTACCAGCAGCACAAAGAAACAATTTACATGGAAAAGCCTGCAACAATATCCCGCTCTTCCCCACCAGGCTTTCTCCCCAGTGGAAGAAGGGAGAGTTCCTCACTCCTGCCCCTGGCAATGAGTGAGGTGGAGTGGAATAACATCTGGGCCTTGCCACACACTTCTCATGCTTGCTGTGAAAAATTAACCCTGTCCCGGCTGAAACTAGGACAGGAAAAAAACCAGTTTATAGTAAAAATTGAGCAGTTAAGGTTAGTATTTTTGTTTGTACTATTTATGCACTGGTCTAAAATACTTTTCTTCATTTTAAGGTAACTGAGCTGCACAATATCAAAAATATAACCAGATTGCCTCGAGAGACAAAGAAGCATGCAGTGGCAATTATCTTTCATGATGAGACATCAAAGACATTTGCGTGTGAGTCAGGTAAGTAGTTGGTGCTTCATCTCTAGCTTGAAGAAATCAAGTTACACATCAAAGTCTGGCTCGCATGAATTAACTCACAATGCCAGATAGAAATTCTTACCTTAAAGAAATTTGTGGTAAACAAAAAACTTTGGAGTTTGGGGTTCAGGTCTTTTGGGGTTCAATAAGGTTTTTTTAATATATGATGAGAGGTGTTAGGGATGTTACAGAGATCTTTTTTCCATTATTTTTCTTTGCATGCAGATGTTTTAAAGACTGGAGGTTTCCAGCTAAACTTGTAAATGCTAGTAAAAAATAACCTGTAAGATGTTATTAAGTCAAGATGTGAAGCATTCTTTTTTTAACAAGCTTTGCTATAGGCAGTTGCTAAACTAATAATTATCATGCCATTGCAAATAAGTAGCAAATACCAGCTAAAACCTCAGGATATTTTAAAGCAGGGTGTCAAGCAGTCTGTGGTTTGAATGACTCCATAGCATAATGACTAGACTAGCATAGAGCAAGACTTGGGCATTAGAGTACACAATGGCAGGCAGTTACTTTTGAGACACTGAGCACTGCACAATTAAAGTGCACTATTTTCTTATTTGAAAGTACAATTGCACACATCTGTGTCCTAGGGTATATTTTGGGCATATTATAACAGAAAAAAAAAGTTTTTTAAAGGAGTGGGAAATTCTTTAATGATAAAGTTTGTGCTTTTTTAGTGACATATTTGAAACTTTGCATTTTAAAGGTTTTTGTAGATAATACTACATATATATATGTATATGTATATGTATATGTATATGTATATAGGTTTTGGGTTTTTTGAATATATATGTAACATTATGTATATATGGTGAAGGGCCTAGAAGAAAAGCCATATAAGTAGTGACTGAAGTTACTTGGTCTGGAGAAGAGGAAACAGAGAGACTTCACTGGAGTCTGCAACTTCTTTTTGAGGGGAAGAAGAGAGACAGACACTGATGTCTTCTCTGTGGTGATCAGTGACAGTACCCCAGGGAATGGCCTGAAGTTGTGTCAGGGGAGGTTTAGGTTTGAATTGGGGAAAGGTTCTTCATCCTGAGGGTAGTTTAGCTCTGGAAAAGGCTCTGCAGGGAAATGATGACTGCACCAGCCTGACAGAGTTCAAGAAGCATTTGGAAGATATTTTTGGGCACATGGTGTGACTCTTGGCACTGCCTTGTGCAGGGCTAGGAGTTGAACTCTATGGTCCTTGTGGATCCCTTCCAACTCTAGATATTCTATGATTCTTTATCAATATTATCATATAAACATTGCATCATGTACAATCTAAATAATAAATTAAATACAGTGAACAAAATCTGAGAAATGTGGAGGAGGTTGAAGGTGTGCAAGGTCATGAATTATGTAGCTTTTAGATCAGATATTGCAAACAGTAATATGTATATTCCATCATGAAAGATAGACTTTTTTTTTGTTAATTTAAGTTTAGAGACACACATAGAAAATCTGTGTCTGTCTACAATTGGTTTAAGCAATCATTAGGTAAGTAGCCCACATTAAAGATTTTGAATTCTAATCTGTAGAATTGATAGTGACTCTATATTATGATTAATAATTGAATAAAAACATTTTTATTATATTCCAACAGCACTGAAGTCAGTCCTGTGGAAATTTTTCCATTTGCCTGTGCATACATTCCCCTTCTTTCCTAATGAGATCTTGTTCCTTCCCTAGAATTACCGTGGTTCAGGTATATTTGAAAAGAGTGAGAGCAAGTCATGACTTCAGAATTCTTTGACCAAAGAAGGGACAAACCTTAGGAAGTTCAGCTTGTCTGGCCCACTCATCCCTTTCTTCTTAACCTTGAACCCAGTTGTAAATACAAGGCACATGTAGTACCATAAGGTGCTAGCAGGGTGTCAATATGAGATGCTCTCTCTTTATGCTCTATACAAAAGTGTGTTTTGAGTGGACAGAACCCTGGGTGAAGTGTCAAACAAGTGGAGAGCTTGTGGACAAAGAACATAGTTCAGACCAGGATAGGTGATGTAGCAGGTGTCTGCTCTAGACCTTCTCATCAACAGGAGAAGGCAGATGAAGCAATCTCGGGGCAGGTGGAAAAGCCTTATAGTCCCAGGCCTTGGTGTTCCGCCTTGGTGTTCCTGGGTGACTTTAACCTCAGCAGTAACTACTGCAAGGCCAATAAGGCTGAACACAAGCAATCCAGATTTCTGAAACAGATTGAAGAAAACTTCTTGACACAGATGATCAATAGTGTGATGAGGGGAGATGTTTTGTTCAGGGACATGCTTGGCAGCATCCTGTGGATCCTTGAAGGGCAAAGGAGCCCAGGAGAGCTATCTAGTCTGCAAGGACAGCATCCTCTGAGCACAAGAACTCTTCTCCCCATTCTCAGAAGACAAGCTTTACAGGAGATGAGTATGAATGGATGTGGAGCTCCTGACTCGCTCAAACACACACAAGAAAACTTACAATGAAGCAGAGACTGACTCCTTGGGAGGGATACGGAAACATTGCCTATTTACATGGGAATGGAGTTCAGCAAGCTCCAGCTCAGGGAAGTGCAAGATAGAAAAGGTTTCTTAAAGCACATCAGGAGAGAAATAAAGGCTAAGTAAGCGTGGCCCTATTGCTTGCTGGAACGGTCGACATAGTGACAAGTCACGAAAAAGGCTAAGGTACCTTTTCTGCTGTGGTTTTCACTTGCAAGGCTTGTCCTCAGGCCTTCCAGGTCCCTCACCCCCTGAACTTGATGAAGTATTCGTGGCAGAGGAAGGCAGAGTGAGACATCATTGAAATCATTTGGATTTCATGCAAAAGTTAGTGGAGCTTGACTGACATGAGTGACAAGGAGGATCCAGGTAACTGTGCTCCAGCCAGCTCACCTCAGTCCCTGAGAACACTGCTGGAGCAAATCACATGTAAAGACATGAAGGACAGCAAGGTGAATGGGAGAAGAAAAAAATACTTCCCATACGCAAATCATGTTTGCTATGATGAGGTGTCTGGCGAAAGAAAGGCAATGGTTCTTACATACCTTAATTGTAATGGTCTTTGATACCCTCTGTAGCTTCCTCCATAGCCCCTGAAATCGGTGGGGCATGGGATGAATAAAGACACTATAAAGCGGATAGAAAATAAGCTGGACTTAAAAAACCAAGGTTGTGACAGGATGTAGTAGATCCCTAGAGGCAGTGCTAGGACCAATACCATTCAATGTCTTCATTGATAATCTGCATGATGGGGTGGAGGGTACTCTCAGCTGGTTTGCAGGTGACAGCAGGTGGGGGTTACCCAATTTGGGAAGGCAGGGCTGCTGTCAGAGGGACCTGGACAGGCTGGAGATATGGGCTTGCATAAACCTTGTGAAGTTCAGCAAGAACAAAAGCTCTTTGCCCTGGTTTATGGTAATCCCAGCCATAAGGCAGGCTTGGTGCCAGCTGTTGGGAAGCAGCTCTGCAGAAAAGGCTCTGAGGTCGTGGTGCACAACACTCCCTGGACAGCATTAGTAATGGTCTTCATAGCCGGTACTGGAAAGTGATCCTTCCTTTTTATTCAACACTTGTAGGACCACATCTAGACTGCCATGTCCAGTTTTGCGCATGCAGCACAATATTGACATATAGGAGTGAACCTGGGGGGGGCACCAAGAGTCAGGAGCACATGACATAATAAGAGAGACTGAGGGCTTATTCAGCCTGGAGAAAAAATATTTCAGAGGATCTTATTGCTTATGTGATCTGAGAATACAGAGAAGATTGAGCTATAAAAGCATCAAATACCTGGCTGTTTCTGAATGACTACAAATGTTGGCTGTGAGCATAGTGGAGTTTCAATTTGTTTGCCTTTCTCCATGCCTTCAGTCTGTCTAAGCAGTATAGACTGCATCACATCTATGAGATAAGATACACAGTTTTGTTTCACTAAAATCTGACTCTCTTTAACTCCAATCTTTTGTTTTCTGAACTAGGAAGATAGGGTCCAAAAACAAATTTAGTTCCCAAGTCATTTCCACAGTGAATTCTGTCTTCTCACAAGGAACTGTTACCATTTTTACTGCTGTTGAAATGTGCCAAGTACTTGGCTTTCCTCTATGAAACTTAACAAAATTTAAGGAATGTTTGAAGAACTTGCTTCTTATTTAAAATGGGTTCCTTTTCTTCTCTTGTTTAGCGGCACTGGTTTATATGGAAAAATGCATAGACTTTTACAGCCTCACAGTGTACAGTGATGTACACACAATGGTGTTTATTTTGGCAAATCTTCTTGCCACTTCTTTGGTTAACACAATAACTTTACTAATCCCTCTTCTTTCTGGTGGCTTCAGTGTCAAAAAAACACTCAAGTGGTTTTGACTCAAGGCAAAAATCTTCTAGAATCATAACTGCTTGACCTTGAATTTTTTAGGACTCCAGAGTTTCATAATGTGGACATTTTTCTACCATGAAGTCTCTGAATATACAGAAGCAGATGCCTTGTTTCTTATCATCTTGACTTCCAGGGGCAGATGGAAGGAGAGTAAGGAAAGTAACATTAAACCCGTTGCAAAAGGTCTGCTGAGCATAGAGTCAACAATTTTTTGGAGACAAGGAGATAGGAATACTCAAAGCTGAGTTAATTTTAGGGATCGAACAATGTGAGGGAGGGGTTTTGTCAGTGTTGTACCATAAAATGATTTTAAATAAAGGTATCATTTTGGTTTTGATAGCATGAGTTGATGCCTTCTCCTCTGTGCCGTCTTAAAGTGCCAAAAAGCAGCACATTTTCCTGGCACATAGCTTTCTTAATTGTGGAATTAGGCACAATAAAATACTATTCTGTTTTAAAATAGGTCTCTAAAGATGCAGAACACTTTAGCTCTCCACAGAGAGCCTGAGAGCTGTGATACCAGCCCACTGGGTGTGCTGGCTCAGAGCCTGTGGTTTTTTCCTAAGCTTCTGCAGCTTTTAGTCCCTCATCTTGCTTATTGTCTTCAAGGCAGCTACTGTCAAATCTGAGCTCTGGGTGGG